AAAAAATATTTCATATTTTTCTTTCAATTATTTTTGAATGAATAAAATTAGAGATTAAGTAGAACATGAATAATTGAATGCAAATTTTTGAAAAGTCTAATCACATATTATTGTATCACATTACTAAAACTTTAAATAAAACTATATTTGGTAGAAATAAAATAATTTATTGAAAACTTTTGAAAAGTTTAATCAATAGATTTAAACTAAATATTGAAATTACATTGCATAAATATATCATGATTAAGGAAAAAATGTCAAGCAAAATAAAAAATATAAAAAATATTTCATATTTTTTAATTATTTTTTGAATGAATAAAATTAGAGATTAAGTAGAACATGAATAATTGATTGCAAATTTTTGAAAAGTTTAATCACATATTATTGATATCACATTACTAAAACTTAAAATACAACTATATTAGGTAGAATTAAAATAATTTATTGAAAACTTTTGAAAAGTTTAATCAGTGATTTAAATTAACTATTGAAATCACATTGCCTAAATATATCATGATTAAGGAAAAATTGTCAAGAAAAATAAAAAAATACTTAAAAAATATTTCATATTTCGTATAAAAGTATTATTTTTTTTTTGGAGAAAAATCAATAGTATTTTAAATAAATACACACATTTTATAATGATGATAATTAAAAACTACTAGTTATCATCATGTGCACATGCACAAATGTACATAAAATATTATAAGTAATATGTGTGAATTTAATATTAAACTTATAGATGATAAACATATCACATTTTCAAGAGATGTGAATTTAATATTAAAATTCTAGATAATACACATATCACATTTTCAAGATATGTGAATTTAATATTAAAATTCTAGATAATGGACATACCACATTTTCAAGATTTAATCATAAGTAAAAATAAAATAATATTAAATAAATTATTTGAGTACATATGAATCACTATATTGATTAAAAAAAATTGTGGGTAATATAATTTTTATAATTTGGAGGGATCATGGTCAAATAATTTACTTGAAAACTTTATTATTCTTATTATAATTATTATTATTACTATTCTTATTACAACGACAATTGTTTATAAGATTTTAAAGTACTATTAAAACTATTTACTAATTGTTTCTAAAGAAAATTGTTTCATGAAATATAAAATTAAAATAATAATAATAATATCATTCATAAAGCCTAATTAAGTGTAATCATGTATTTATAAAACCTAATTAATAAAATCTCATTTATTTTCCCTTCAAAAGAAGTTACAAAATTTGTCATTCATATTTTGCCACCCTATTAAGTGTAATCATGTATTTTTTTGCTATTATATTATATAATAGTTAATGCTATTACCAACTCATAATATTTCACACTAAATATAAATTATATAAGTAGAAACAATTTTATTGTTTCAAGAGATTATTATTATTGTTATTATTATTATTATTATAATAATAATAATAGTTAATGCTATTCTTTTACTATTGTATTATATAATAGTTAATGCTATTAATTTTTTTACATGATTACATTTAATAGGGGTGTATTAATGTGAAAGGCAAAATATGAATGACAAATTTTGTAACTTCTTTTGGAGGGAAAATAAATAAAATTTAATTAATTAAATTTTATTTAAAGATTAGCTAGCAATTATATAGATATATAGATAGTACTAGGCTCTTGCCAACGTGAGCGTGTAGCAGACGCGCCGTTGTCTCAATCCCTAGAAAAAAATGTGGATTTGTGATTTCTTTATTCATCTGTGCGCCTTCAAGCAGTCAATCGAAAGGGTTTCTCTCTATAGCTCTAGCTCACCTTCTCTCCCTAAAACCACCCATTTGATCATCAATGGCCGACAAAACTGATTTTGATTCACGCAACATCCAGACACAGAAAGGTTCGAACTTTTGTTAGTATTCTCGCATTCATCCTCGTTCACTGTCAGTGTTTTTTTTTTTTTTTTTTTTTTTTTTTTTGTTTTGGTTATAATCCATTCAAAGGGTTCGTGTCGTTATGTGGGTTGCGATTAGTTTTTCCAATGTGGGATCAGGTCTGTTCTTATTCTTCGTGGTTCATGTATTGAGATGCTGATGAGTGGATGTAGATTTGGCAGTCGAAAATGGCTAACATTGCTGTTTTCATGATACGTTGTTTATCTTGTTGGAGTATTATTTATCTCAGTGTGTGATACAGCCTGACTGCTACTCAGTTTGATGATATGGTTCAGTGATTAAAATAGCGCGCCATGGCGCGAGGCGAGGCGGGGCTTCGACGCCTCATACCCTTGAGGCGAGGCGGACTTGTAAAAGGCGACGCCATCGGATGTAGCACAGCGTAGCCCGAGGCGACGCCTTATGAAGATGAGGCGAGACAGGGTAATTTACGTATTATTAGGGTTTCATAACGGGAGATTCAAACTTAAAATTACTTACCAAACTAAAAATTACCATGTGCCTTTTGTTCCACCGGCGACGGCGACCACATTCCGGCAGCTAGCCGGCGACGGCGAGTGGTCCATGTTCCAGTTTTTTCTTTTCTTCATCTTTTTCTTTTTTCCTTTCTTGCTTCAGCCATTGTTCACGAACGGGGGGAGGGGTTGTGTTAACATGTTTTTATTGTTGTTATTATTATTATTATTATTATTATTATTATTATTATTTATGTTGTTTATTTATGAATGTGGAGCACTAACTTGTTTTCTAATGTGGAGTATTATATTATTATTGAAATTGAGAATTGGGCATAATGTGGAATTGTGGGATGGGTTCATGGTTATTTTAATTGGGACCATGTGGGTTGATTTTATCTCTATTTCTGATTTGTTTAATGTTATTTTTATTTTATTTTATTTTATTTAATGTTTTTTTTATTTTAGTTTAATGTGTGGTGTCTTGTTGCATGATTATTAGTTATTATAATTTATTTTTATACATAATTGTGTCATAATTTGCTAAAATATCAGACATGCATATATTTTTATTTTTTGTACAATGGCTCGCCTCGCTTTCATAAGGCGGGCGCCTCGCCGCACGCCTCACGCCATGGCAAATAGGAGCCTTGTCGCCTCGGCTCGCCGCGTGCTATTTTAATCACTGATATGGTTGCTAATTTTTTATTAATGTTAGTATTAGGGGTGAGCATGGGTCGGTACTGTTCGGAGATTGACAAATCTCCAAAACCCTACCATAGTCTGGAGATCACTAAAACTCGATATCCAGAACCGTACCAAAAAAATCGGTTTGGTTCGGTTTGGATTTTTATTTTTCGGTTTGGTTTGGTTCTGTATTAGAGACTATCAGAATGGTTCCGTTTGGTTTGGTTCGATTTGGATATTTGGAGATTTTTAATTATTTTTAAAATGTTTTGACTGTCCATCTAGTTATATTTTAATTTTTATATGTTTTTTTAATTTAAATCCAACATTCATAATACTTCGTAATACTAAAAATTTTATTTTTAAATAAACTTTAGAAGTAATTCTAGTGCTAATAATGGACTAGATCAAAATAGCTCAATTAAATTCTAGTGCTTCTTCTATTAGTGAAGTTTCTAGAAAAAAATATATCAAACGACGCAACGCACCTTGGGTCGCTATAGAAACAACCTCCTTGTATAATTACAAGGGTAAGGTCTGCGTACAACTGACCCCCCAGACCCCAACCTGTTGGGAATATACTGGGTATGTTGATGTTGACGTTGATGTTTAGAAGTAATTCTAAATTTTAATTAAGACTAAATTTTTAAAACAAACATTGAAAATAAAAAATTCAAACAAAATATGATATAGTTTTTTTTTTTAAAGTAATATTTGTTTAACCCTCCATATAGAATAAAGTATCGACAAATTTAAGTTAACTTAAATTATTTTTTTAAAAAATATTTCTTTAACCTTTCTTGCCATTTTGAAACAGGAAAAGCAGTTGTAGATCAAATATTACTAAGCATGAAATTTAAGTGAATTTTAATTGTTATTACTATATTTTGTTTGCATTTTAAAATTTTCAAATTATATAAGAACAAAGTTGACATAAGATATATTAATAACACACATCTATTTTTATAATTCGGTTCTACTTTCGGTTTTTCGGTACGGTATGGGACGGTTCGGTTTCTCGGTAAATCTCCAGAACCGTACAAATTATTTTTTCGGTTTGGTTTGGTTCGGAGAAAGTCAAACGGTGAACGGTTATTTTTTGGTTCGGAGTGATTTCGGTTCGATTTTCGAAACGGTTCGGAATTCTCCGAGTCCCATGCTCAACCCTAGTTAGTATTGTGTGTTGGTCTTATTTATCGAATGAAATAATCTGAACTTTTGACAATTTTAATTGTCTATTTTTTTTAGCAAGTCGTGTGTACTGTGTTTCTCCGTTATCAGTAAAATGAGCGTTCATCTTTGATTTATTATGGCTTATAAGTAGTCAGTTTTACTACGGAGCCATCGGATGACTCGACTTATGGAGTCATCCATAGTTATTCACAAATAGTGTATTGAAACGTGTCCTACAATAAATACACTTTGTACAAGTGTCAATACATTAACTGATCGATTGCTCCATAAGAAAACCATCCGATGGCTCCATAGAATTTTTGTATAAGCAGTCCCTTGTTGTTAGTTGTTACATTTTATTTTTTCCTTTTCATTATGTTGCCCTGAACATGTAGGTTATTTGACAGCCAGGATTGCACATGTAACAAGCCAAGCAATACATTCCTGATTATTTCTATATGATGCATCTTTCTTACATTGTGATCCAGAAAATAATGTATCATTCTGCTAATAACTGAAATTTTGATTTGTTAAAGCTTTGCATTTTATTAGTATTTTTTCACATAGAAAATATACTTAAAAGGTGGATAAGATTATTCTAAAGCTATTTACGCTGCATCTTGTATCATGTTATTGGAGCTTATCTGATTAGATAGTACTTTTATCAAGAGTGAGTTGTTTCATAGCATTTTTTTTGGTGATAATTGAGGGTGAGGGGACAGATGGAAATGCTGTATCTGGTTGATTCATGAAAAAGAACAAGATTTCAGAAGGTAAACAAGTTCTGTGGTCATGGCTAAAAAAAGGAAAAAAGATATTTAGCTTGTACTTTGTGATTCTTTTGGCATGTTGGAGGAGACGGTTGGTCCCATTACAACATTACTTTTGAACAAGTCAGTCTTTTCCAGTGGGATCTTTAAGAATAACTAATTTAGTTAAACCTAAGAGGTCCTTTTTTTTTTTTCTATCCATTTGGCGGTCTTAGGGCATGCTTCTATGTATGTTTGAGTCAGTTCAGTACTGCATATGTACGAAGTAAGTGGCCATCTATGTTTGGCACATTTTTTGTTTTATTGTCTTGGTTGATGACATTGCCATCATATGATAGGCTCATTGCTGCAACTTTTTCGTGAAGTTTGTAAGTGTGGAGGGGAAGGAAGAAATACTGTTTTTTTGGTAGACGAGTTTATTCGGTAACATGTGGTGTATCCAGCAATCTTGCTTAACTTTCCTATTATTATGATTTTACATATATTTGCTACTCAGGGTTATCTGATTTTGATCTGGCTGTAACTTTGGATGATGAAAAATTGGTTAACGAATATAGTTTATCTTTTTATGCATGCGTATAAACTTTAATTGGTCTAAACCGTCTTATAAAATAACTGGCTTCCCTTTACTTTTTAGTTTATAGCTCAAAATAGTCATAATTTGCATTCCTTCGGAATATCTGCTTATAAATAAAGTTTAAAGTATGTAATAGTGATCTCCGATTCATATCTCAAAACAGTTGTAATTTAGGATCACTCTCCGATTTTCGTTTCCTTGTGATCTATATATAAAGTAAAGCTCTCTTCTTCCATGATTTCTTCTAACCATGCTTTTTCTTCTCGGTAGTAAAGATGTATCCAGCAAGCGTGATACTTGTGAATGAAATAATAAACTCACTCCAACTTGCATAGATTATTCACATACTCAGTTTGTTTGAGTTTCTTTGCAATTCTATTCAATTTTTCCTATTTTTCTCTCTTCATAATTCATGTAGATGTCCATGCACCCGACAATTCCTTCCCGCTTTCACCTCAGTGGCTTTTGCCAAAGCCGGGGGAGAACAAGGTTGGAGCCGTTACAGGGGTTTGTTATGATCTAGCCTTTTTTTTTTCTTCTTCTTCTTCTTCTTCTTTTTTTTTTTTCCCTTTTCATTTGGATCTGATTATTTTCTTTCACTTAAACTTTCTCAGTCCATATGCCTCATTTTAGCACTTTCTCTTTTCTTGTTTGTTTTTTCAGGAGAATAATTTTAGTCTTCTCCCGGGTCATGCCAACCGCCTTGTTGCTGTGAAACCAACTGGACCGGAAGATGATTTGGTCGATAACCCTAAGAAGAAAGACGTTTTTCGTCCTTCCGTGCTGAACGTAGAGCCTGGCCGTCGGGACCGCTGGCGCGACGAAGAAAGAGACACTAATTCCTCCTCCACCCGTAAGGACCGGTGGAAGGAGGGGGAGAGCGATCCACACCTCGACAGCCGCAGGGCGGATTCATCTGCCGGAAAGCCCTATGGTGAAGCACGCCATGTCCCGAGCAGAGATAATCACGACCAGCGCCGTGAGAGCAAGTGGAATACCAGGTGGGGCCACAATGACAAGGTGACGGGCGGGAAGTGGGGGGACCCTGGCAATAAGGAGGATAGTGTTTTCCTTGGCAAGGGGCCTACCCATGTTACACCTACTCATGGGAAAAATGAGAGGGATGGGGTGGATCACTATCGGCCTTGGAGACCGAGTTCTACTTACAGCCGTGGTAAGGGGGAACGGGAACCCCATAACCAGACCTTTTTACATGGCCGGGGGCGCGGAGAAAATCCGGCCCCTGTCGTGTCTTATGGCAGGGGAAGGGTTGGCTCTGGGGGGAATTTGGTTACCCACACAGCCAATCATTTGCAGCCACGTGGAACTCTCCTGGCGAAAGGTGAAGCTGGCTATGGGGACCCTGGTTGTCTGTCTTATAACAGGACAGAACTGATTGATTTATACAAGGAAACCGATATGATAGGTTATGGTAGTAAGTGTTTGGATGGTGTGGTGCCAGTACCCTCTCTTACTCAGAATGAACCTACTGAACCTCTGGCTTTTTGTGAACCTACTCCTGAAGAATTGGTAATTTCTGTTTCCTGAAAGAAGTTGGGTATCATGTTGATTTTTAATTTGATTGTGAGGGGGTTTCTTTGTAGGCTATTCTGAAGGGAATTGGCAATGGAGAAATCATTAGCAGTGGTGCTCCACAGGTCAATAAAGACGGATCTGCTGGCCGAACCACAACTGACTTCATGCAAACGAGGCGAAATAGGCTAGGTAATCTACATAATATATATCATGCCTTTAGTTCTTTTTCCTTCAATTTTTTGCTTATCCTTATTGTTGAGTATCCTCTTTCTTCATTTTCTGTTGCCATTAAATGCTTGAGAAAGTGATGGTAAGGTTGGGTTAACTTTTCTTTCAGATGATTCTATACATGAAGCGCCGAACAATCCTGATGGTTACTCAGAATATTCGGAAGCTTCGGCCCATGGAAAGTACATTTGTCGTTGGCCCGAGACAAAAGTTGAGACAATGCAAGATTACAAGACCTCGTCTGACCACAAATTGAATGTTGACGGTAAATCTTTAGTAGTTCATTTTTATTATTAGAGGCCATGTACTGAGGCTGGAGACAAAAAATTGTTGTGATGACTTCTTAAATTAACATTTTATTTGCATTTCATTCAGATATTGCATTGACATATATTCTCCGAAACATATGTTGAAAATGTTGTAGATTGGTACCGTATCTGTTGTGGATCAACTTTACCTGATATTTATTTTTTAATGGCTCCTGTGTTTATCTCTAGTTTGATATCTTCTATCTTTTTTATCCTTACCTTTTCCCTTGATCATCTCATTATTATTTTTCTCTGTATACAGCCTTAAAGGAAGGCAATGCTATTCATAGGAAGAACGATGAACACACTCATTTAGTTTCTGATTGGAGAGAGAGATCTCTGGATATTCCAAAAGATCTTACAAATGTATGGCAGAATAGTATGATTGATTCACCTAACACCAATAAAGGAGCGCCTAAATGGCAGGTGGGTGATAAGCCAGTTTTGGGAAGGCAACCACTTGCAGCTATTAACAGGGAAATCGAAACACATTTAACTTCTCAACCTTCTCCAGAAGACCTAGTACTTTTTTATAAAGACCCGCAGGGTGAAATTCAAGGCCCTTTTGCTGGAAGTGATATCATTACATGGTTTGAGTCGGGGTATTTTGGCATTGAATTGCAAGTGCGTCTGGCCAATGCTCCGGCTGACTCTCCCTTCTACTTACTTGGAGATGTTATGCCCCATTTGCGTGCCAAGGCTCGGCCACCTCCTGGATTTAGTACCCCCAAGCCAAATGACATCCATGATACCTCTGGTAGATTAAACTATACTAGTGCTGGGAAGCTTGAGGCCGATTTCTTGAAGAATGATTCGAGATATCAACATAGTATGGGTTTAACTACAAAGGCCGAGAATAGCTTTCTGGAGCCATTGATGGCTGGCGGTACGAGTACTGCTCCCTTTGAGAAGCTTGTTCTTTCAGAAGTTTTGTCTGTATTTGTTTTATGATAGTATATTTCTTGTTGATTTGAGCGAGTCACTATTTAAACAGGTTTGGGAACTAACCATGGGGAAGATCCTTTTTTACTGGCGAAGAAGTTGGCATTGGAAAAGCAACAGTCTGCACTAAATCCTTATTCACTTTGGCCTGGAGGAAATGCTGCTTCGGTTACAGACAGTGCTCTTGCACAGAATCGTACTCAGAATGTGGAACCATCATTGCCTGTCCTTAGTATATTGCAACAGAGACTGCAGCAGCCACAGAACACACCTTTGAGCAATCCATTAGCCCAATCATTGGATAATTCATCCAGGATAATTCCTCCGGAGAACCTCTTAGCGTCTGGTATTCCTCAAGATCAGCAGATTTTAAGTTTGTTGCAACAGCAGTATTTGCTACAGCAGGTTCAACCCCAGGCCCCCGTTGCGGCTCAGCAATTGTCTCTTTTGGATATGGTGCTTAAGCAGCAACAGAAGCAGGAAGAGCAGCAACTGTTACTGCGCCAGCAGCAACAATTGCTCTCGCAAGTGCTATCCAAGCATCCCCTGAATCAACCATTGAGCGAGCCTTCAATTTCTCAGTTGCAGCAAACTGGTGGTTTTGCAGCTGGGGATGTTAATGTGGGTCACACTCATTTTCAAAACCATGATATCTTTCAGATTGGTTCACAGAACGTGCGAGATGAAAGTAAAAACGCTGCTGGTTTTGTTTTGCCTCCTAATGATTCGAGCAGAAATATAGGCTCAGAAACTTCAGAAAGTTCAATGCATCTGCCACATCAGATTTTTGCTAATCTCCCGAAGCAAAGAGACTGGGATGATGCTCCTGCAGGTGGAACAATTGATGAGCGGTCGAAGGGACTTTCTAGCACGACAGATGACAGGGAGCATTCGGGAGATTCTGTCCCAAAGCAGCAATATACAATTGATCATAAAAATGATTCAGTATTTCATGAAGCTTTGGATGCATTTGAAGAGACTCCGGCTGGGGAATCAGCAGAACCGCAAGAAAATGAAGAACATCACACTGCTGATTCATCCTTAGTAAAAGAAGTTAAGGTCCCTGAAGCACAGGGGAAGAAGTCAAAAAAGCAGAAGTCTTCTTCCAAGGCTCATGTTGACTCAGTAAAGGGTGCTGTGACCAAATCACAACAGTTGAAGTCATTGGAATCTGAAGGAACAGCAATCTCTGGTAATGCTAAATCTGAGACACTTACTGCCAAAGGAGATGCACTGGCTGCATCTGCAACAGAAAAGGAGAAGATGAAGAACAAAAAATCAGTTGATGATTTGGGGCTCCTACCAGGCCAGAGCTCTTTGCCGCCTCGTAATTATGCAGATGGTGGAGTGACAACAGAGACAAGTGCTCAGCCAGGATTTGCACTCTCTCAGGCAAATACCGGTCAACGGGCATGGAAGCCTGCTCCTGGTTTTAAGCCAAAATCATTACTAGAAATACAACAGGAAGAGCAGAGAAGAGCACAAGAACGAGAAGAGGCGGCAGTTCCTGATATCTCAACTTCTCTAAGCTCCATGAGCGTCTCGAATCTTTGGGCTGGGGTAGTTGCCAATTCAGATTATAAAGTATCGGAGGAAATCCGGCAGGAACCCCCTAGCACTGAGATAACTTTTGCCAAGTCTGATAGTGCCTCTGTCCTGAAGAACAAGAATAACCAAAACGAAGATCTATTCTGGGATGCTAATGTTTCCAAATTAGGGGACAGCGAAGTAGAGACTTCCAGCCGTGGGGTGCCTTTAACAACATCAATTATGACTTCTCAATCTGGTACGATCATTGATGATGACTTTGTTGATGCTAAAGATACTAAAAAGAGCCGTAAAAAGTCTGCCAGAGGTAAAAAGGCGGCTCCCATTGTTACTCCCACCGATGTGCATGTTGGATCAAGTCCAAATGATAAGAGCAAACTTTCTCGGCAAATGCAACAGCCGAAGGAAGTATTACCTCCTCCGCCATCTGGTCCTTCCTTGGGAGACTTTGTTAAATGGAAAGGGGAGTCTGCTAGTCCTCCTGCCCCTGCTTGGTCTGATTCTGCTAAACTCAGTAAGCCTGCATCTTTGAGAGACATCCTTAAGGAACAAGAGAAAAAGGTTTCTTCTTCACAGCCGTTGCCAACTCCTCAGAAGCCTGCAACAAATCCATCTTCTTCTGCAAGTGTTCCTTCATGGTCATATTCTTCTTCTCCTGCAAAGTCTGCCGCCACAGTGACTGTTAACTCACAAACTTCCTCTAAGTCGAAACATAATAAAGTCGAGGATGATCTATTCTGGGGACCACTAGAGCAACCAAAGCCGGATGATAAGCAGTACGATTCTTTTCACTCTCTCATTTCCTTTGATATTGTCTTGTGTTCCATTTTCAATTCACGAGATCTACTCTCTGTTGTTTGATTTACTGTATATTGCCTCCACTTACCTGTGCATGTCGTGCCCGGTATTCCGTGTCGTTGAAATCTTGTGGTTTCCTGAACAATGGTTGTTTTTTCATTGATTTGGGGCTTTTTTTCTTCTCTCTCAACTTCCTTAACGTGAGATGAATACAATAATAATAGAATGGTATTAGAAGGCTAGAACACAGCAGCAATGGCCAATGCAGGAGAGAATAAATAAGAAAATGAACTTGGACATCCTTCACCTTGCTTTTCTAAGTTTGGATGGCTAAAGTCATGCTTATTTATGCTACAAGTATTACTTTCATTCAATGATTTCATGCATGCTATACATTATAAATCTTATTTTCATTGTCATGCATGCATGTTTTGTTTTGGTTTTGTTATGGGGCCTCAGTTAAGGTGTGCACATTGCACCACAAGTTCCTGGTGCCCTTGTTCATCAGGCAGTGCCCTGTGGCCGCGCCTTAAACAAATATGCATACTGTTTCTGCCCCGGGTTACACCTAATGTAGAACTTGTTATGTGACTTTATTATTTTTCGAAATTCAAACGATGGCCCGTGGCCTATCTGGGTGAAGATTTGTTCTGTTCCGTCTTTAAACTAACCATTAATTTTGTACTAGTTACAAGACTGGACAATTACAATAGTTGTTATTGTTATTGTTATCTGTCTTTTATATATGAAAGGGTATTGTCTTCTTTGTGTTATCTTTAGGTCGGAGTTTCCTCAACTTGGGTCACAGGGAAGTTGGGCAAACAAAAGCACCCCTGTGAAGGGAAACCTTGGAGGCACTTTGAACCGTCAGAAGTCTGCTGGTGGCAAAGCTGCAGATGATACTTTTTTTGTTTCATCTTCATCAGCTCAGTCATCTCTCAAAGGGAATAAAAATTCCATAACTAAGCATTCAGGTAAAAGATCATTTTTGGCGGTGAACTTAAATTCCTATTCGGGGAAAAAAAAGGGGGACTATATAAGTATATTTATCGGGTACTGTCTTGTCACAGAGGCCGGCGACTTCATGGAATGGTGTGAGAGCGAGTGCGTCAGACTCATTGGGTCGAAAGGTATATAAATTATCTATTTTATTTTTCTACTCTGTTTTATGCTTATATTTCGAACACAAAAAATTACACATCATTTATCTTTTTGCTGTATGATTACAATATTACTCTGTTCCCTTAATCTGTTATTTTGATCCTTGTCAGACACAAGTATACTGGAATACTGTCTGAAGATACCGAGATCCGAGGCTGAGACACTACTAATCGAGAATCTTGGCTCATTCGACCCGAAACACGAATTTATCGACAAGTTTCTGAGCTACAAGGATTTTCTGCCTGTTGAAGCTGTTGAGATCGCCTTTAAGAACCGGAATGATCGAAAAACAGGGGACATGATTTCCGATCCTTATCCTGATATCAGCAGTGGACCCACAAAAGCAGGAAAAAAGAAGGGGAAAAAGGGGAAGAAAGTGAGCCCATCCGTTTTGGGGTTTAATGTCGTGAGCAACCGGATTATGATGGGTGAGATTCAGACTGTGGATGAGTGATGAGAGGTTCAGTTTGGTGTGTAATTGTGTACATACATTTTGCTTTGAGAATGAGTGAGTTGACTAGAGACTGTACATGTTTTTTTTGCCTTTTTGGAATCTTGCTGAAGTTTTGCTTTTGAACTTAAAAAGTTTTGGTTGGTTTTGTACCTGTTGCAGTTCATACAGGTTTTAACTGTGTATTATTATTAGTCTGATAATTTAATCCAAGATTTTGGTAGTCCTGGTTTTTATTTTATTGAAATAGATGTGACACTCTTGTATGTTTATTATATTAAATTATGAGCTTCATGAATTTTTAATTGCATTTAAAAAAAAAATAATGTTAGATATCTAAATAGAACTTACATGTGATTTTTTATCTCATTATTTATTAAATACCTGTGAAATAAGCTTGCTAGGTGGGCTCGAGTCAACAATAACCTGCATTGGGCCACAGGTTGGCCTGGCCGGAATTTGAGCCAGTCTTCAGAAATAATTTTTGAACTTATATCAAAATAATAGCCTTGTTAAGAATTTTAATTGATAAACGATTTATTAATAATTTAACTTTTATTTAAATAAGTAGATAATTTACGTTATATGTGCCATATAACCTAAGATATCTGAAAGATAAATAATTTACTATATAAAAAATTATCATTCATAAAAAATATTAAACTTTAAAATATATGTATTAAGTGTTAGGAAAATGTTATATAACTTTAGTAGATATAATAAATAAAAATTAAATCTACAGAGACAAATTTTTTAAAATATAAAAAATTCACATATTACTACCAAGCGCACACACCACCAGTTGGCGAACAAAAAAAAAAACTATGTAAAATTAGCAATCGAGAAATGCTATAGGTATCTAATAATGTACTCACATTTAATGGGACCACGAAAAATAAAAAATCAAGTAGACCACACTCCATTTGCGTGTTTTTCCTATAAAAAACAGTAGTTAACACTTGCAAAACTAAATCATACATAGATAGCAGTATTTTGATTAAGAGATAATTATAGTTCGTTATTAAAATCCAAGACATGTTAATTGTAGTTATAGTTCACATTAAACTGTCACATCATAGTTCATAAAACGACAAGAAATTCCTTGTCAAAAATAAGGAGTTATATTAATATACATATAAATGATATAACGAACTACTAAACATAATAATTTATCTTATATTAGTGATTTTTGTGATGAATAATTCATCGAAATTGTATAAAAAAATTTAAAAAAAAAATAAAAAATAAAAGTAGACAGGTGGATAGGCTTTGCTGTAAAGCCCTTCTAATTATGATCCTTAATTCCTATTTTTTGTTGCTTTTAATCTCTTTAGATTGTGACAAACTGGATAGCTTTAAGATTGATCTATGTAATTTACAAATAATATATACTCGAGCAAAATATCCAACTTTTATTTTACTTGTTAATAAAATCAAGCAAAATTATAAGGAATTAGTGATGGTGAGTGATAAGAGTACCTTTTTTTATTATATTATCTTGTCTTTTAAAAATTATTTATTTAATGTGAAAAAAAGGGAAATAAATTAGAAGGAGATTCTACGGTCCGTAACCGGCCCGAAAAAACAAATGGGCCGGTTCATAGAACCGGCCCGGAACCGCCGGTTCAACAGCCCGGCGGGTCTCGGACGGTCCCGGGCCGGTACGGCCCTTAAAAATCCACAAAAAAAGCAATGTGAACCGGTGCGACCCGGCCCGGCCCGCCGGGACAAAAAAAAACGTGACCCTTAACCGGACCGGATTGGCCGCGGTCCGGTTCTAAAAACCGGCACTATTCATGCCGGTACCGGTACCGGGCTGGGCCGGGCCGGTACCGGGTCACGGGTCGGGCCACGGGCCGGGTCGGCCCGTGGCCATATCTAATTCCAACAAAGTTTGTAGCCGTTAGATTAACTATCCCCGACATTTACATGATGATCTAACCATTACAAATCTCAACGGAGTTCCGTAACGAGACTGTAACATTTCTCTAAATTAGAAGTAAAACTTGCTATTACATGCAATATTGAAGTTTTTTTGGTCTTTTGAAAATCATTTAGCAAAGAAAAGTAAGAGCACAGCTCAATCTTTAAACACATTACCCATCATAACACAAATGTTGTTAGATTGTCTAACCGTTAGACAAACATATTTTCTGATGTAGCGAAAGTGTGAACGAACGGGAAGATACAAGGAGATACTCTCTCCAGAACACGAGATACTCTCCCAAAAGAAAACAAGATCAATTATTTTCATTCATCAAATTCTACCCCTAACATAAAAGAGGATGAGTCCTTTAAATAAGACTCTAATCCTAAACTTAGCTTATTCCCTAAGCTAACCATTATTTAATAAATATACTAATAATAATAATAATAATAATAATAATAATAATAATCCTAATTTTAATCATATATAATCTCCATCATTCTCTCCCGGTGGAGCAGGATTCGGCCTCGAATCCGACCCGTTCCCGTAGGAGAAGTGTGACCCGTTTCGTCCTCGATCGAACACGAAGCTTGAAGAACGCCCAACAACACCGAACGTAAACAGAATCTCGGTCAAGGACATAACTGCTGTGAAGACACATGTACTCGTCACTAGGGGTGAAAGCGGGGTGGATAATTTCCGCATCCGATCCGATCTGAATCCGCGTTACGAGGATATGGATTAAGGTTTTAGATATCCATGAGGATATGGATAATCCGCATCCGATTGTTGCGGATATGGAGGAGGATATGGTATTGGCAATATCCGGTGGATATGGATTATCCGACAATTTAAAGTGGATTATCCGACCTTTATAAGAGGATATCCGATTATTTTACATAGCCCTAAATAATATAATCCCGGTCCAACTAGCCTACACAAACCATATAAAATTACTCATCGGCAGACACCCTAAAAGCTAAGAATACAACGGCTGGTTCCACAATCATCTCGCATGCAGGTCGCTGTCAGCGACATCTATTTGCATCTTCGTTCCCCGGCCGCTGCTACTCTCGTGCGTGCTACTGTTTTCTTCGACACAACAAGTCAGCACTAGGTATTGTATTGCATTTTACTATTTTTTTACCCAATCTTGTAATTGTTCTTCCAGTTCCGACTTTCTACAGCCAGCCTCACTCCAGGCCGGCACACCGCACATGTACGAATCGTTTTGTTGGTGAACGAATGAGTTATCTCCTAGAAGATCGATGGCATCATCATGATCTTTCTAGCATCTATGGACCATCGTGGCTGTATGGATCTTTTGGGGCCTTGGTGTAGATCATGTATATGTCGATCCCCACTGGATAGTTGATATAAATCCCTACCCAGAAGAGATCTATATATCTGCATCACTGCATGCATGATGCATCTATATATAGCTCGGACCTATGACTATTAGGCTATGATTTTATATAGCCGGTGTATTGCTTAATTATTAATGGTTTAGCTTAGCTAGTTGTGAACTAGCTATGTACTTGGCTCGTCTCGTTAGCTAAGTACCCAAGGAACTCAATGTTTTGTGTTCTTTTTAAATTTTCTTGCAACTTTGCTTTATTAATTATTATTCGTCATAAAGAGTTGAGTAGAAGCATGTATTATCCGACTATATAAATCCGCATCCGATCCGCTTCCGCTCCGAATCCGTACCATCTCTGATATCCGAAACAATCCGCATCCACATCCGTATCCGCCCAATATCCGCTCCGCTCCAAATCCGCAAAAATAAAATGGATTAGGATGTGGGAAAGGTATTATCCGCACCGCACCGCACCGTTTTCATCCCTACTCGTCACCATGCGCAAATCCCGCAAAATTGAATGAACACTAAATACACCACCACGTTTGCCCCGCTCAAATCCATAACAACGGCCAAGCATCCCGTTGTCGAGAGACTTCGCGAAAACCAATCGGAAAATGGTCCACCAATTATCGGGCATCGGCCTCGGCTCCGAAAAACCATATTTGGTCAAAATTTCCAAAAAATCGGGTGTGAATGACGGCTTCTCATTCGAAGACCTTGTTGACATCCGGATCGGTCAGGCCAAGATCGAGTAGGTCGGCCCCCCCCGAACCGAGCGGGACCGAACTCGCGGGGGCCGACCCGAATCGATAAATAATGTGTAGGACGGGTCGAAGGAAACGCTTCCCGAGCTCGGCACCTGGACCCGAGGGGGCCGAGCCGGTCTCTCCCCGGGGCCGAGCTGGAAGGAAGTTCGCCTGGGACACGCGTGCTTTCGAAGAGAAAGAGCCGACCTTAACAGGCCAGAGCCGCCCTGCTAAAGAATAGCGCCGATCTGATCGTCATTAAATATTCGCCACTTGGGAGATCATTATTCGTTGATGGGACAGCATGTCACAGTCGTTCAGTCAGCATTAAATGCTGCCCATGCCTGCATTTAATGCTTAGCAAGCAATGATTGGGAAAACCTCAAATCGCATTAATGAACTGTCAGGGAGGCGCCGAACTGCTCTGCAAGTCCACTGTACGACAAGACCGGTGAACAGTTCCTCATTTAAGAGTACTATAAATAGCAGCCCACCTCATTTATTTTGGGGTTGTTGAATTCACAACTAACTCAAGCTTTCCTTTACTTTCTCTCTCTAATATTGTAAGGATTGTAAGAACTGTAAGAATACCACAGGAGCCGACCTCGTACGAGAGGCCGACCACGTGATCGTTTAATAAAAACCTATAATTAAACCTTATCCTGGCCTCATTCTCAGTCCTGTACTTTTCATTCACTTAATCTTAACCGTTGACCGAAAACACTCGTCAACAGACCTAATCGTTGCAACATCCCCTGCGGGACCCATATTACTGCAAAAATAAGCCTTCGCCACCGGAAGCTCCGTATCAAAAATGGGCGGACCTTCGTAAATTGCGTCGTCGCGATCTTCGTCAACGTCAGGAAAGTCAGGGAAACGGGCCCACCAAGTGACCAAATTCGTTGCCAAAATTACTACCAAAATAGCTGCCGAGATCACTATGTACAAGCCCAAGTTTCGCATCTACATTACAAGCCCAAAAAACTGGATTAAATTCCTCCATCCCCTTGTCCAAATAAATGGAACTGGGCTTACCCTGCGCAGGCCCAAAAGGGTGAAAAGCTGGTTCAATTTTCTGCTCGTCTCCCAAATCGCCATCCCACAAATCCCGTCGCTGCACCCTTGCCCCTTCTCTGTGAAATCCGAAACAGTGAGCAACTCCGTATCCCGCCGCATTCTCGCAGTCGCGCCGCCCATATCGGCCGCCGTCACCGGCGAAACATACACCTGCTCGCCGCCGATCGAGAGAACCAGACCCTCCAAAAATCGTGTCCGCCCAGGGTTGTCCCCTTCGAGCTTCACTGCCCCTGCTGTGGCCAAAACCGATCGCGTGTTGTCCCCAATTGTGCTCACCGGTCGTGGAAAAATCCTCAGCGGCCCAGCGTGGCTCACGGCCAAGGAAGTCGCCGCCGTTTGCAGCGGCGCGACGCCCCACCTGCGGCCACCGCCACGCACTGTCCTCTCTTGTAGAAGCCCGACGGAAATTATCGTCAAGGGATCTGCTCGACCCTCCACCTGCTGCAGGTTGCCGGAAATCGTCGCCTAGGGCTGCGCGATTGGGAGAAATCTGGTAGTCAAAACCCTCCTGACGTTGTCCCCAATTGTGCTCACCGGTCGTTGAAAAATCCTCAGCGGCCCAGCGTGGCTCACGGCCAAGGAAGTCGCCGCCGTTTGCAGCGGCGCGACGCCCCACCTGCGGCCACCGCCACGCACTGTCCTCTCTTGTAGAAGCCCGACGGAAATTATCGTCAAGGGATCTGCTCGACCCTCCACCTGCTGCAGGTTGTCGGAAATCGTCATCTAGGGTTGCGCGATTGGGAGAAATCTGGTAGTCAAAACCCTCCTGACGCTGTTGTTGACTGCGAAATCGGGCCGCTCCTAGGTTTTCCTCGCCCGTGCGCTCGCTGCCATCGGCCCTGCGTGGAGGTTTGTCGAAAACAGCACTCCACCGTAAGTCATGGTCCCTCGATATTTCGTCGGAAACATCACCGGTCAACGTTGGCAGTGGTGATCGTCGGCGGGGCGCCCCGCAATAACCTCGACCCCCACGACCTCCGCTTATCCCTCCGCGATGGCCCCGGTCAGCCCCTTCGCGGTCCGTACGTACCTCGTTCATCATGGTATTCATTGTCTGGCGTAATTCGTCGATCCCCATAGAAAGTTCATCAACCCGATCATCCGTACTGTGAATCCGATCATCCATCTGTTGCAATCGGTCGTAGATGGTAGGATCGTTGTTGTTTCCTCTCAATGGCGGCATCGTGGAACGTACCCGGTCTCTGGATACCAACTGATGTAGCGAAAGCGTGAACGAACGGGAAGATACAAGGAGATACTCTCTCCAGAACACGGGATACTCTCCCAAAAGAAAACAAGATCAATTATTTTCATTCATCAAATTCTACCCCTAACATAAAAGAGGATGAGTCCTTTAAATAAGACTCTAATCCTAAACTTAGTTTATTCCCTAAGCTAACCATTATTTAATAAATATACTAATAATAATAATAATAATAATAATAATAATCCTAATTTTAATCATATATAATCTCCATCATTTTCTCACACAAAAATAAAATAAAATGAACAATTTATATCATAAATGGTAAAATGTCATACTTTTGTGTAATAACAAATTATTCCTTCGTTCAAGAAGCTTGCAAAGGTAACATGTCCGCATTTCATCACTTTGCAATGAAGATGCCAAAGACAATAATATTATAGTTACAACAATCCTTAAAAGCCCTATAATTGTGATTAAGTAATTGCATTATGCAAAATCACATGAAATTTTTATATATATAAATCATCCTGGTTTTTATCACATCTGTTTTCTCATCTTCCTCGAGTTGATGCTCGGTCGAAGAACTTCCTTCGATAATCTGTTTGTTGCGTAAACAAAGTGAAAACACGCCTTTGTTAGATATCGTTGCGAAAATAAAACTTAATTTTCTTGAAAGCTCAAAACAAAACAAGAACCATATTTAGAAAGTATGACTATGCAATTTTAAATTGCCATACTCTGACCTTAAGCAAAAGTAATGGAACCTTTATAAATATAATTAAAACTGGAGATAAAAATCAAGTAGTCCTGCAGAAACCAACAATAATGAATAATGAAATGGAATGATTAAAATCTCACAAAATTTTTTGTAGCCAGCCATATATTCATCTATCCATCCACACCGAAGCTAATAAACAATTACTCGGCATTTCGCTTCTAAAATTTTTCGCAAAATTCTCTGAAGAAGGATCGATGTACTCAGGTTATCACGGAAAAAGCGGAGATTTAGACTTGTAACTGACACCAAATTGATAAATAGTCCGGTGACTTTTGAAAAAATCCAGACTTTAGTCCTTGCGCTGGGAAAAGCCGGTAAATATGACCAGCTTCTGAGTTAAATATGTTAGTCGGCTGTCACATTGACCAGATTTTCCCGGTGAAAGGACTCAAATCCAGGTTTTTTTTTTTTTTTTTTT